GACAATATTTATGCATGGCTGGAGAAGACAGCGCACGCCCAGATCCAAAGGGCTTCAACTGTAAACTAGCTTGACTTTGTCACCCGATAGAACGCTGATAGGTGCTACATGTACGCCGAGGACGTCACAGGTTTCGAAAACAAAGGGGACCACACACCGTCGGTGAGTCCCTTGGCGACGCAAGCTACGCGCACAATAATATTGCAAGTAATCGGCCCACCGTGGTAAACTGTTCACTGAAATGGGTCGAGGCATCTCGCCCGGTGTCTTTGTTAGTGACCTTTTGCCGCAAATCATAGGCTTGGTTAAGCAAGTTATTCGCGCTTTTGTCGGGCCGCCGCGAATTATCCACCGTACTCGATTGTGAAAATTGAATGTTTGCGCACAAATCACATTTAATGATTATTTTTTCCATACCCTTACTGTGGCATTGTTTTCTTCTACCTTTGTTCTGTATCTCAGCGATTGTCAGCCAGCAGCGCAGAAAAAAGGAGTAAACGATGCGTGCCTCTTTGGGGGCAGTTGGCGTTCATCTGACCAGGAAAAGTGTAGCAGATGACCACCAAGTCTAACTCTTTGCAGCTGGAGTGACTAGGGGGTTTCCTCCCTTTTACCCGCCTGGACAGATATGGCCTGCTCGCTGTACTTGTTTGGATGGACAACTGTTGATCGGCAGGGAGGTCGTTGAACTTGATGACGCTGTGCTGTGTAATCGTGGTCTTGTTCCAACTTTCTTGGACGAACATCAGCCACCAGCCTTCAATGAGCATCAAAAAAGGGTTCCCACGGAGTGTTACCTGGTGAAATAAAGGCCTTGTGGTCGTGTTCTATTTAACCCATTTTAGGGGTAGACTGAAGCTAGACCGCAGAGCCATACATCGTATAGGCAGTTTGTACTACGTATTGTGTAGTTAGCGCACACTTTAGTGGAACCAGCTCTCTGCGCTTCTCCTCAGTCACATGGTATGAATATAATCTCCTGAATTTTTCAAAGTGTACTTGCAAAAACCGGAGGTCCCTCTTAATTGAGGTGATAATTCGCCTTAAAATCGGTAATTCTTCACGGCGGGCACTGCCGGGCCGCCTACTGATTCGTTCGTAGACGTACTTTCAATACGCTCAGAAAGCCACGAAGCAGTGGAATTTCAAAATACGCCTGCGCGTAGAAAATATCCTTTTGATGAGGTTCCAGCGCTCATAAACATGCAACATGATTTCTTGCGTGTCAGTCTGGTTTCTGAACAGTGCAGAGTAATTGCCCGTGAAAGTGGAGGTCGTATCTACAATCGTACGTGAGTTAGTAAATGTTTTAATACCGAAAAGCCTCTGGTCGAATACCATAGCTGAGGACGACATATCGCAAAGCCAGTCAGAGGAATGACACTTTTCCAGCGTCTCCAGGGAATATCATTAAAGCTTATTCGGTCGCCGAAAACAAGTGCTCAAATACGCATTGCTTAAGCAATGGTTCTGTAGCGCGCGGAGTACGAGGTGGTGGGAGAGACGCCAGCATCTCAGAGCGTGTTAGCCTGACAGAACGATGCGCGCAACTCCCCACAGTCTCGCTTAAGCAGCCTTTTCCACTAAAAATACACCCTAGGTGCTTAGTCAGCGCTTTCCGATACTCAGTGGCATGCTGAACTACCTACCCGTGAACTCGAATGACTGCTCTGTAAAGAGCACCTGTCAGTAGCTACTTTAACCCGAGTGTTGCGTTGTTATTCAGAAGCACTCTCCTGTCCACATGAACTAGGTTGGCGACCAGCCGATGTGATTAAACGTCTCAGTTACGTGCGCAAGACTTCCCAGGGGGACATTTTTGAAGAACTGGAACATAGCAGTGACCTCCCCTTGGTTCTGAAGACATTTTAAAATGAGAAGCCATGCCATAAAAGCCTGCGTCAGAAAAAGCCACTACCAGAGACGCGAATCCTCAGGCACTTTTAAGGAACGACCACGCATTGTAGGTCCGCGATCTTCAGTGCAGCCCCCCCCCCCCTCACTGTTCCAATATGGGGCTGGCCCCCCGCTGACATTCTCAGGGCCGTCTGTTGGAGAGATGGCGCGACCCAAGTGCGACGGTCGGGAAGTGCCCTAGCTGCCTCGGACATGCTCTTCCGCAGGCGTCGACAAACTTGGTCACACCGATAACACCTGTGAGAGAGAGAGCTGATTTAAGGCGGGCATCGTAATCACAGACATGGGATCCCCCGTCAGGCCATTGGACTTGGATTTACTGTGGAAGAGACATCAAGAATGACTTAAACAACAGGGCTGCACCTTCAGAAAACGACAGACATGCTTCAATTCAGTGTGAATAGGAGGCCGTTCAGAACACAGCGGCTCAAACCGAGTGAGTCGAGTGCAGAGTCTTTTTGCCGGCTATTAAGGAACTTTCGCCTGTGTGAGGTTTCACTAGGTTAATTTTATCACGCACGTCATTGTATAGCAAGATCAGAGGCAACAACACATGACCAGTATGAGGCTACAACCTCCACTATCAGCAACCGAATGGTGACGTTATGGGCGAAGTCAGGATCACCGAAGTCACTACAAGGGTCGAATTCAAGCCCTTCAAAGCACGTTAGTGTAGTATCGGCGTCCAAAGTTGTTAAAGTTAAAAGTGGAGGCGAGAGTAGTTCTGGGGGCTGTTGCCTAGGGACCCGAGCGGGAAGGTGCATTTTCCTTCGCCAAGTCGATGCTGCTATTAACTGCACAAAGCAACGGAATAAGACGATTGGTTGACAAGGAGAATAAAGAGGACAGTGGTTTAATGGGATCTTTTTAAATTAGATGAAGCGACCGACAGCGGCTATAAAAACAGTCCCAATCGGGCACCAGTCAAAAGAAAAGGGTTTGGGGCGTCAAGGATGGGGTTATGTGGCCGCGGAAGTTAAAAAAACGATAAGGGGAACATTTAAAAACGATTCTCTTAAGGCTGCACTTCAAGATCGCTTCTCAGCATATTTTTTAGTAAACTCCTCCGCATTTTTCAGGAACTTGTTCTTATCTCGGGCATATTCCTCCGCAAGGTCGGCACGCAGAGGGTGCTCAATCTCTGGGTCAGCCAGAAGGGCAAGAAGTTTCTGGATGACTAAAAACAAGATAATATGGACTATGACAGCAGAACCCGGGGACATTTTTTACGCGTAAATGATGCATATAAGAGTGTAAACGTGCAACGCAACTTTATGATCCTTGTAAATAAAAGAAAAACTAACTGTTGGGAACGGTCGTGGCAGGTTTCCAGTTTTCTGGCGCGATGAGTGGGAGACATATCTGCCCCTTTTCGTCAATATTTGGGTGATAAATGGGGGTCTTAAAGAGGATCTTCGGTGGCTTGAAGGGAAACTCGGGGCAAAATTCAATGTGCAGCTTGAAAGCGCCTTGGTTGTAGGGTGGGCTCGTCTAAAGGAAGCAAGACCAAATTTTGTTTGAAAACAATGGAATTTAGAGGTCGGAAAGATCGGCATTTGGCCCAAAAGATACGTCAGCAGTGTCTGCTTTGGCTTGGCCAGGACGTCAGTAATGTCCAACTGTGTGGTACGCGTGAACCAATAAAAATGGACACGAGGGCTTATACCACGGACGGTGGTCGTAATATACCAACACAATCATATCCTATGTTCACAAAAGGCCTTTGTACGAGCCTTGAATTAACAGTGGCCAAAATCAACTTTCCGTGCACCGTCAACCGATACGAAAGACAAACCCCCAGGCGGTGCCAGATCGCCTGACTTGTCACGCCTCCTTCTCACCTAAGCCTCGCGCCTAACCACACACGCAGTAACCAGGAGTCACACAGACAATTCAATACAAGTCTATTACAGAAGTCGTGAAAATTTGTTTACGCTGTTTGAACCCTGAGTAGGTTACAGTGAAACTAACATACAACTGTTGACCCCTTCCGAACATTGATTCTCCAGATAGAAATCCTACAGTACCAGACTCAGCAACTTAGGGTGCATTACAATATTAAGTAATGTGAGCTGGCCCTCAGTGGTTTGAGGGAACTTACCGCTAGAGCTAGATATTAATCTATGAGGACGACTGGCCATGCCTCTAGGGTTTAACTAGCCGAGAGACGAGAGGAATACTTACCGGGTGAAGGTGACCATTCCACTCGAAAAGATTTTCCTCTTGATTTGGGCTGATTTTGAAAACAGCGACCATGTCATCCTTGTTCATGGATTGCAACTCCTAGAATTAAGGAGAAAAATATTGGTTCTTCCCAAAAGGACATGCAGAACAAAAATAAGATTTGAGTTAACACCCTTAGGAGGCAAACTATTAGAAAGGGGAGGGGGGAGGCAGGCCAATGAAAAGCTCACGGCCAAAGGGAAAACGGGTTGGTGGTAGAGCTGAATCTCGAACTACTGCCAAAACTAAAGTTTACAATTCTTAAAATGCTGTTATACCTTATCTGTAATAAGGACAATCGTAAATCTAGGTACAAAAAATGGCTGACTGTCTGACGAACGTTCTCGGCCTCCTAGCTATAAAAGCCGCAAAATTCCTTACTTAGACAGGCCATAATTACCTAATCGCCTTTGACGACTGCGGAACTAAATCTTGCTTATAATCAAAGATCAAGAAAAAAATTGAAACGAAACATGCGAATTTATTCATGTTATAAAATTCTGTGGCCCCTTAATAAACTGACAGAAGCGAACAGGCGAGTCCCAGGGGAGCAGTTTAGAAGAGGATGCAATCATTGGAACAAGTTTATTGGCCTGACGTTTCGGATTCTCACCCGAACCCATCATCAGAGACGGTCGCAGATGAAGGTATTGGAGGCACAACTGCGTACAATCCTTTCCAGGTGGTTTTTCGCTAGATGGATACCTGAATAGGACCATCTGCCAACCTACGTACAAGGACGTCTTAGAAGGGCTGTATCGTTCTTCTCAGACTTGATCGTAGGTCTGATCTTCACACGTGCCTTAAGTAGTTCTCCGTCCCTTGGGCGTTTGACTATGGCGAAAACGTCATCCACACGTTAAGTATAGAATGCGGTTCGCTGTAAGCTTTGGGCTAACTTTCGTTTGAGATTTAACATGAAAATGTCCGCTAGGAGTGGCCCCAATGCAGTAACCATAGCGAGACCACCGATCTGTCGGCAAAACCTTCTGGTGAACAAGAATTATACATTCTTCGAGCATATCTGTAGAATTCCTGGAGTTGTCCTGGTGGCAAACATGTTTCCGTCGCATGCTCACAAATACCGATGGTTTCATCCACTGGCAAGTTTGTGCTTATCTTATCTTGCTAATACAATCGACGTACGCAGTTGAATAAGAGGTTACGAAATTTCATAATTTCGAAAAATTCTGCACGTTTCGTGGCTTTTGCCTTGTTGGAATTTTTTCCAGGAAAACAGTGCTTCAATTTTAAGAAAAAAATTCCCTCTCTCTGGAAAGTGTAGCCATATGTTAAAATGTAACCAATAAAGACAATCCTGTTTGGAAAATCCAACTACGAGAACAATGCAGCATAAGCACTTTCAAAGGCTTCGAATAAATTCAACTTGCTACAATGGGATAGCAACAAATAAGTCTGGCCTAAATTTACCAGGTCGACTTGTTGAACATTTGTTGTCAGGAATGCGAAGTACATCGGACTACAGAAAATTCCCCAATCAGAGCTTTCTGAGATGCGTAGTCGGCAAACAGTCACAGTCGTCAGATGAGCTTCTCGCAATCAGCTGCGAGACATTTCGTTGCATTTCCAAAATACTACTGTGTGAATCTAGTCAATAGCGCACATCTTGGAGGCAAGAAAAGTAGCATTTTTTCTACCTTCAGACTCAGGGTGGAGGCGAGACGTGCATGCTCTACTTTTCTGAACGCCATTCCATCCTTTAAACGAAATCTGGCTTAGGTGGTCGGATTCTGTGCTTCCCCGGATTTTGGTGGGACTAATTGGAAAATGTTCCGATATCAACAGAAGACAGTTGAAGTCGGAACATTGTGCAATTCGTCTCGCCAAAATCCGGGGAAGCAAAGAATCCGACCGCCTAGGCCAGATTTCGTTTAAAGGACGGAATGGCGTTCAGAAAAGTAAAGCATGCACGTCTCGCTTCCACCCTGAGTCGTATAACAGTCTTTGGAGATGACGCACTTCGAAAGTACGGCGCGATTAGGAGACTCATACATTAAGGGCACTCATTGTGCATCACTCAAGAACTGTTTCACCGTACCGAAGGTCATGAAACACTGACCGAATCATTCGATAAGATCCCAAGTGGAAAATGTTACTTAGGCAAAGTTGCAAAACTGACTAGTATAAAGCATAAGCCCAAATTAGTTAGGACAAAGTACCATACCGGGATTCAGACGGGCACTTTCCCAGCTGGCTACACATACTGCACTAAAAGTACTAGCTACGTAGCGCGGACCTTTCCCTTGACTTCTGATGCATTTACACGTTCAGCAGAACATTCTAGAAAAGATGTCGTCCTCACCAAATTGTTCACTTAAAAGTAGGGACTACCTCAGCTTCCAAAACGCATGGAAGTTACTCGCGTGACCCGGCAGACCCCGACTTGGTAAAAATGCTCACAGTGCGCAACACGAGCCACACACACAAAAATTGGAAGAACACAACGGAAACCTTCAGGATGACATACAGGTCTGCGTAAACGTGCTTCTGATAAAATGTATTACAAGTACTATGGAGATCCCAACTACAAGTTGGAACGCGGACTGTTTTAAATCGTGTAGGTATTAATAAACTTAAAACTGAATTATTTCTTCTCAACTTGCAAAACATTTGAATGCAGAATCTCACATAAAACGAACTTGAATGTATCCTGTCTGTGAGATATGGTTGACTGTATAGGCAGCAAACACAAACGGAAGAGTCCATGTTTAAATTATTCTGGTAATTTTTGAGTGGGCTATTCAGTGGTCCGCAGTCTGCTGAGGGGAGAGTAAGTTGCACAAGGTTCACTGCTGGTCAGTTTTGGAATACTACTGATGTGATCTTTACCGTTTGAAGGCATTCTGAAGGACTTCGTCCAATGTCCAACGAGTTTCAGTGTATAATGTAAGCATCAGCTAAAGGCACACGCACATGTTTCGTCAAACTGCTGAGGTCACATGGCACGGTTGTGAGTTTGGTTCCTCGTTGGAGCCTCCGAAGTCCGCGTCTTTTCGTTTTTAAACAGCTCCATCCACATGTAAGAGGAGCACATAACTCTATTCTATAACGTTTAAGACTCGACGGCAAAATCAAGAGCATTCCTGGTGTGTAACGATAAGTAGGCTGTTCCGAAAGAGCCACGAAACCGTACACGGTGGAAGTCTTTGATGGTCTCCGAGGATGAATTCGTGTGAGAATCCAAAACGTCAGGTCAGTAGACCTCTTGTTTCAGCGATTGCATCCTCTTCTGAGCTGTCTTCTTGAACTCGCCTCTTTGCTTCTATCGACAATTCTTAATGAAATTACTCTTGCATAGGGCCTCTGCGTTATTAGTTTGCACACGGCTCCAGCGAGGCGCTGCTTTCTTTCCGCTGGCTAGCGAGCATGAATGAAATTGACTGGTGCCTAAATGGTACTGCCACAATTGCGTTTTGAGGACTCACTACGTATCCGGCCGATAAGTGCCTATATTTATTTCGCCCCTGATTGCACTGCGCATTTTGTGCGCATAGTGACCTAGCACAAAAAGCCCGCGGCGAAAACATCATCTTTAGGAGGACACCGTGTTTTCTAAACTGCTGCAGAATTCAGTCCGGAAACTAGCAGAAAGTCCTAAGGATTCATCTATGTATTCTTGCTTTTTAGAAACGGGCGATTAAAAAACAACCGTTGCTTAGGTTGACTGAGAACAGGCGAAATATGAATGAATCCTTGGACACACCTTAAATGAGCAACTTCTAACGACCTTGCTTTGCTATGACACCGGATGAGGAACTTTCGGTGTAGCTAACAGTCCCAGAACTAATTTATGACTCTGTATAGCGTAGACAGCGTATACCGACTAACTTGGCACCTATCGGACACAAAATACAAACCACAAAACGAGTAGCAACCATAAAAACCTGCTAGGTGGCACGTGCGGAGGAGTTCCCGCGTGTATACCAGACCTGTGTACAGAGCGAACTAGCTTCAAGCATTCATTGGACAACTCGCCCCTACAGAGACGAAAACTCTTTGGAAGAGAGTTATCTACCAAAACAAACTTGCCTTGGTCAGACGTCTTGTGGCCGCCATTTGGAAGAGAACACACTGGGGCTGAAAAATCAAGGAGGGAAGGAACAAGAGACGTCATAAATAGCACGACAAACAGAGCTCCCTACTGATCGCTTAAGCAATTGCCGCAGACCAGCAAACATGAGGTACGACAAATCACGGACTATCCCGAAATTGTTAAGATTAAAATCTCATCTTTCGTAGGTGCGGATTTTCCAGGGTGCCTCTTGGTAGATTAACGACCATATATATGTCGGCACATATACGGTCTGATAATTAAAAGCGCGACTCGGAAACATAACAACAAACAGAATACACTTTCGTGGCGCTAATTTGTTCAAACGATTACTATAGAACATTGCTACTAAATAACTTACTCCGACAGTTCTCACAGAGTCAACAGCAGGAAACGTACCAGAGGACGACCAGCACAAGCCGACTGATTTGGCGGTAAAGTAATGAAGATTATAACAAAGTTCAGGGGTTTGGGGTACTTTTGGAATTCGTGGAAGTCTAGGACGCAAAAAATTTTATACCGACCCGATTTTCACAGTGGAGTTCACAGACACGATCTACATGTGGGAGGGTCAGTAAGCTACAAAATAGGGAAAAACTGCCATTTTTATCCAGTTGCTTATTTATTTCGCGTCGCACCGTAATACCCTACTACGACTTGTAGGTCTATGCGCCTTTTCGAAGTGACTCTTTGCATTTTCCTAAACACCTGGCTTTACCGCACCCTGGTTTGAATATGCTAAAACATACGCAATAAACGAGTTAGACCCGCAATAACGCGTATTCTGATTTCAGAGCCCATGATTCACAAGTCTCATGTATTCATTTGAATTCATCTTAGTCGGACACGATAAACATGGGGACTACTTCTCAAGCACACGTTGTCGGACGTGGATTAATGCAGATGACAGTCGTAATTAACAAGGACCAGCACGGAACTTTTTTGTTATTACACAAAAACAACCTAGTGTTGGTGAAGACTTTACTGTTCGTCAATTCCCATAATAATTCACCTACACAAGTTGAGAATTATGGGCATCGGTGGCAAACTCCTCAAATGGATCGAAAATTTCCTTGTCGGCCGCTCCCAAATTGTCTGCGTAGAACAACAGCAATCAAGGTGCACATTCATAGAGAGTGGGGTCCCACAAGGCTCGGTGCTCGGACCAACCCTCTTTCTCTTGTGCATCAATGATTGTGTAGATGGGTTGGACTGTGATTGTGCCATGTTTGCAGTTGACATAAAGATCTGGAAAGTCATCCAGAATGCCGCCGATGAGACCAACTTCCAAGAAAATCTTTGTCGATTGGACGAGTGGTCCCGCAGATGGCTCTTGTCCTTCAATTTGAACAAATGCACCATTCTGCGCCTCGGAAATCAGAGCTTAAATACGCGGCAATACCATCCGAACGGAATACCACTTCGAGATGCAGAAACGCAGAAAGATCTCGGAGTCTGGTTTGAAGACAGCTGAAAGCCTTCTACACAATGTTGTAAGGCGGCCAAGGCCGCAACCTCAATGCTATATGCCATCAAACGGGCATTCGTAGTTTTCGATGAAGACTGCTTCACCAAAGTCTTCGGCACGTTTATAAGGCCCCATCTCGAATATGCAATTCAGGCCTGGAGACCGTGGACGCATCAGGATTACTATCTGCTCGAAAGGGTGCAGAGACGAGCAACAAAATTAATAAGAGGTCAATACGAGATCCGCTTAACTAACCTTAATCTCTATCCTCTGAGTTATAAGCAGTTGCGCGGAGACATGATACAAACTTTCCGTATCGTGCGCGGCTTGGATTGTGCCCTTCGGCACGATGACTTTTTCCAACTCGCCACTACAGCTCACCTCCGGGGACATCCCTTCAAGCTACGTGTGCACCAGGGTAGACTGAATGTGAGAAAATATTTCTTCACCAACCGTGTCGTGGAACCGTGGAAAAACCTGCCCGAGACGGTTGTTATGTCTCAATCTGTGGCAACATTCATCTGTCGCCTTGACAGATATATGTTGCAGCAACAAGCGGACTATGTGACTTTTTAGCCATGTGACTAGTGACATATGTGAATCAATGTTGCATTCACTAAATGCTGTAATTTCTTCACATTTTTGCTTGTTTATCGATTTTTTATGTACAAATAGGGAGTTCAAAGGCGTAAGCCTATTTCCCTCAAATACACTGACTGACTGACCTTGGCCGTTTCTGCCCTTAAATTCTCTTCAATGCAATTTTGAGGTAAAACGCAACACTCTCTTTCACTTAAAACCAATTTTTTCCGTATGTATTATCAATTTGTATTTTCGATTATTGATTACACTACAAACAGTTTGACACGATTTTCTATATTTGAGCACCATTCTCATTACTATGACTGCCAATGACACAAACACTGACTCGATAATAATAATAATAATAATAATAATAATAATAATAATAATAATAATAATAATAATAATAATAATAATAATAATGAAAGCATTTAAAACCATTTTAATAATAATTTTTAAAGACCCATCGGGGTCCCATTAAAGCAAGTAAAAATAAATCTACATACGAATTTTAGACTAGGTAGGCAGAATCTGTACAAAATGCAATTCATAGTTTCTGAATTAGTAGTCCGTTGACAAAAATGACTAGGAGAGGTGAAGAAAGTCCATACAAAGATTTAAAAATGATTGGATTAATTTTACAGGAGAAAAAAAACCCTCGATGAAAAATAATAACAGAAGTATGCGGGCAGGACTGGCCTGTATGTGGCGGTATATAACGGATTATAATCGGACATCGTCAGGGCAGAAATAAATGTCAGCCTTGAGAGATACGTATGCTGGTCGAACAGGACAGGTCAGTATGTGGTATTTTTGTGACGAATTCAGAACTGACATCGTGAGGGCAGCATTGATACGCCGAATGAGACGATTCGCGTCAAAGAGGCGAGACGAGAGGAACCCTGACGCGATCGGCCACAGTACGTTTCAAGCACAGCCAAGGAGTGGGGGAAGGAAGGTACGACCAAACTACTAGTAGACGGTGAATACTGAGGGTTCCGCCGTGAGCGTTGGCAGACCGCATGAGGTCGAAATGCGGGAGATGACATCAAGAAACGCGAAAATCGTCGCTATGGGGGAGGAGTGATAGCAGCAAATTTAGCAACCAATTCAAAAGAGAAATTTCTAATAATATAATTGAGGGTTACCACTTAAATCTCAGGAGGACCCCTCCCGAAGTCAAGAATCTGAGTGTTCGAGAATGAGACCGTTAACAGTGCCCTTATGCATTCCGGTGTAAGATGTTTGCGTTATTTCGACTTGAATACCATTAATTTAGGCGATGACCTAATTTCTGTCAGAAGATTATTACAAAGTAAAGCATATTTGGAAGCAAAGAAGAGGGAACGCTTAGATGTAGTGCAAGGTGGCGGCGGAATCACCATGCAGGAGTTGCGCGTGGCATAAGGCCGATGTCTCGGAGTGAGAGTGTCAATGAGCGGAAGACTGGAGCTAGAGTTGATGCGAAAAAGGAAGCAAAGGCCAGCTTCGAGTCTTCTAACCCACAAAAACTTAGTGTTCGCCAGCTGACATCTCTGAGTATAAGAAATACTGGACGAAGCTTGAGAGAATAGTTTCCAGACGTTCATTAAACCAAAGAAAGGAACGCAGTATTCGAGGACTGAAAGAGCAAACATTTGATAAATTCTTAGCTTCATTTCCGGAAGGAAAAAATTATGCGATATGTATCCACATATCTGCGCGGCTTTGGCAGAGATTCTATCTGCATGAGGTGATTATGCAAGTTTATTTGTATAACTTAGACCTAGGTCCTTTATGGTGAGGCATTCTGAGAGTGGGTTATTCTGAAAAATTATGGGACCAGGAAGTTTGGTAGGGCCAAAAGACATGAAACTACACTTGGATGATGAAAACTCCATCTGCCATGTCGAACCCCATCTGCTTAAGCGTAGTAAATCGGCATTAATTTTTTCAACACAAACATTTGCGGTGTCCTTAGAGTATGAGTAAACACACTTGAGGTCATCGGCATAAGTAAAAGTTTGCGAATTTCCGAGTTCAGTCGAAATATCATTGATGTACAGAAGGAAGAGTAGCGGACCCAGAACCGTGCCTTGAAGTACGTCACTTGTGATCGAGTGAGGTGTGGAGTAGCTATTACCGACCATGACTTTCTGATATCTGTTGGACAGATAGGACCTGATGAAGTCGAGTAGAAGCTGCCGGATGCCGAGAGCTTCCAATTTTACGAAAAGCCGTCTATGGGGCACCTTTTCAAAGGCTTTGCTAAGATCAAAGGCATTGTCAAAGAAAGATACGGCACGGATCGGGCTACAAGGGAACAAAAACTCCTGAGGAAGTAAATACAGGTCCCTCCTAGCACATGGCCCACTCATACGCGGGGCGAGCAGGGGAGTTAGACGGGAATACGGCCTCTTTAATTCGGAACATGGGAAGTATTCAGGAACCACGCGTTTTCTTGAAAGCTGAAGATCGGTAATGGAAGTAATAAAACCCTCCCGGGTACATATTTAGGTATGATACCAGTGTCGCGCATATTATTCCTTGATGTTTGGCACGTTTTAGAGGCCCCACCCATACAACCCAAACTACCTCCATTCCCGTAAGACAAGTGGACGGGAAAAAAGTTTTCTTAAGTGTTGCGACACTGTATTCACGCCCATATTTCGCCGCAAAAATATATTATCCAGTGCAGAACAGGCAATATTTTTACGATATACTAAACCTCTTCGGAAATTTATACAAGGATGACCTTAATTAATCGTGACTTTTTTTAACTCGGCTACTAATATCTGCGTGCTGAACGGCGTGATCGTCACCACAGTGTGCCGGAATCGATTTTCTCCTGATTTAATGATATTTTAACTTATGCTAGGTTCGTGTCCTTTACTAATGTCTTCGAGTTAATTTTTGTGATTTATGAGTAGTTTTACGGCGTTTGCCGATGAGTTATGTAGAATAGTAAAGTTGGGGGTACTTTAACAGACTTAGTGTTGAAAGGACAGCTCTACATATGTATCATGTTCTGCTAACTATTAGAAGCATTCGTGAAGCGTTCATACGCTGGATACCATCGGAGCACCACTTACGGACGCATAAGGAAAAACGTGGGTACGTTTTGCGCGGAAATAGCGGAGTTTGAGTCCACGCTTCCGTCGACGTCGTCCATGGTATCAGCTGAACCGATAAAAAGGTTAATGCATATACTGACCCCATAAGTTCCCACTGGTACGTTTTTTCATGTGTTTAAAGCAGTATTAGGTCAGAGTCCCTAAGAAACGTGGAGAACACAGGCGCAATTGAAGGCCGGTGTGCTCTTGGAGCTTTACAAGAATTCTTCCTAGAGACGAACATGCCGCTCTGTACGACCAGGAAGTTGTTTAATAAGTTGCGGCTTTTCCATCCTGAGCTACCCAAGGATCCCCGGGCACTATTGCAAACGCCCCGAGCATGCATTAGAAAGCCCCTTCAGAACGGGTGCTATGTCTATCTGGGCCTCGCACGTGGTCTGCTGCATGAGCTAGGTCTCAGATTGACAACACGAAATCCGAAATCCGAGTGCAGCTGCACATTGACGGATTGAGGAGTTGTAAAGTGTATGCTCAATGCCTGTTGCCCATGAGTTGTCGTATAAGCCACCCGGTATGCAGACAACCCTATGTTGTCGGTTCGATCTCTGGTTCGAGCAAACCAAACCTCTGGACGGCTTCTGTTCGACTGTGTGTCATAACTGAGCGAACATTTTGATTAACGGCCTGCGCAGTCCACTGGCACACGAGGTAGTGAAGGTAGTCGTGTAAAATGCCATCTGAGACACGCCTGCTCGGTCTTATGCGAGACAAGTGAAAGTCCGTAACGGGTATTATGGATGCGACAGGTATGTTGTTTCGTACAGATGGCAGCTAATTATGCAAATGTTCTCATACGGGGACCGCCGTTGCTAACCGCATAACGTTCCCCACGTGCACTGAGAGTTTAAGGGACGACAGGTCTTCTCGATTGCGATCCCAGGCAATGCATAACAAGGGAAGATCGCCCTCGACCCATTCTCTAACTCCTGACTCTGCCCTTCTCATAGATGACTTCGATTTTTACCGCCAAGACCGCACGACTAGGCGTGGGGGTGGTTGTCTTCTTTATCTTAAATCCTACCTAAAGCACTCTCCCTATTACTTGGATGTTTCCTCATTCACTGGAAACTTCTG